TCGGGAGTCACAAAAATCGACACAAAACCCTTTGCATGATTAATGCCTTTCACAGTTATTTTATTATGCGGATTGCTTTCAATGGCCCCCTTTGAAAATCGAAGACATGATCCACTTTTTCCACCCAGTGTGAGGTCATTGCTCAGAAAACAATCACTTGTGATAATGATAACACGATCATTGGGGTCTCTAACAGAGCTGTGACTCCACGAAGATCCAGAATCTCCCATATGACGGGATGAAAACAACGATGCCGTCATACCCCTAATGCGATGAACTCCGGATGCAACGTGTAAAAGAACGTGCTCGTTTAGAGTGCTAAGAAGCTTTGGTGAAACGGTAAGTTTGACGGCATGGGCGCGGAAAATAACACTTACAAGACGCCTAGGTAGCTGTTCATGCTGTAATGCATATCCACCCTCGCCTTGTTCTTTTTCCTCATCCGTGTGAGATGATGAGGGGAGAAACGCCTTTCTCTCGCCCGATGAAATCTTTTTACAGAAGTATAAGGCCCACTGGGACGGCTCATCCAGCACTCCGTTCGGGGCTTTTGCGCTGACAAATTCCTTCTGGAGGGTTGCGTCCACAGTGCTGGTGACGGATTGAATCTGGGCAAGTGTCTTCTCATTCCCACCGGTGCGGCTTCGCTCATAGACGATGTGACGGAAACTGACGCCAAAAAGAACGGCAGGCCTTTCCACCAATTCCTCTTCATCCGACTGGGAGGCACAAACATTCAGTGAAACCAATGGAACATTAAAGACAAGCCTGTCGCAACATAGTGGCGTTGCGGGTACATCAATCGTGGGAGAAGGGCCAACGTCAACGTCGCGGTACACCGTAGAAAAAACGGAAAGCAGCGGCAGGAACGCCTGCGCCACTGCCTCTGCACAACACTGCAAAGTATCCCCAAGTGGGATAAAGGCCTCAATGCCACTAAGACGTATCATGACGGAAGAAGACTGCGTCACAAGGCCGTTCTCCACAAAGCAAGAAAAGCAAATATTTTTCACAAAGGGTGGCAGCCGACCCTCTGGGCGGCGATAGCGTATGATACCATTTTCCGTTTCAAACGTTACACGACTCCCCACTGTGCTCGCCTGTTGCTTTAAAATCACAACGGGAAACACAATTTCCATCCTGCCGGCCGTTTCTCCAGAAGCAGGGTGTTCTCGAGATAGAAAAAAGCACACACGTACATCTGTAAGAGTTACCATCACGGTCTGCTGAAACCCATCTTCATGTTTCTTTGAGAATGTGACGTTCTGCAGAACATAAAGGTAAAGCGCCTCCGCACTATTCCAAAGACGCGCGTAAAACAACACGTCGTAGTTATTTATAATAAATGGATTTGCTCGAATGATCACTTCTCCTACTCCGAGAGACAGCTCAAGGGCTGAAATAGACACAAATATATGATGACTATCCGTTTCTCGCAACAAGAGATCCCCAATAAAAATATTGTACGGAATGGAAGTGTCAATACCTGCAGTGCTTCCATCTTTCCAGCCTAAACGTGACTCCACATTTCGAGCTTCCAGTAGCGCTGTATTCTCCATTATCAACAAAAAATGAGCAACACGAATAATCAACACTGTTTGTTTTTCATTCTGGGAAACTGGAATTTCAGCTGTATCGGCGTCACCCTCGTTCTTGGCCCAACTGTTGCTCGTGTTTTGTTTGCCTTCAACCAAAAAGAGCCCTTCACGATGCATAAGACCAATAACGTTATGCATGCGAAGAACAAAATCCACCGTGTGCGGCCGCAGTGAGATAATGATCCCATTCGACTCCAGGCACATCCGGCGTTCCGTTTGGGTGTCGCTCACGTCCACTTGAAGCCCGGCGTCATCGGCGTCACGCAAATGTCGAGAGGGTTGCTGCTTTTCATGCGCCAAAGTCGCGCTCCCGCGGCGGTACAATACAACAACGCCATTCCCGTCAAGAAGCTCAAATGCCCCTTGTATAGAAAGCCGCGCCCGCATAGTTATCTCGTCATGCGGGAAAAAGGACGCGGAGAGTGCCACCACTTCAAGAAAGCGAATTTCCGCAAGGATGGCGGCAGCGGCGGCGGCACTTTTGGTAAGGCCATTGCCGCTTGCACCTTTTTCACCGTCTGCAGATGCATCCGCTGTCGCATTGACGTGACCGCTCTCCGTCAATCGAACGGAAACCCGTGGCAGAGTAACCGAGACGGAAGAAGTCGCACAAACAGGCGCATGAGCTAACTTGACGGGCGGGACGTAATATGGCGGCACATCTTCAGAAGGCGCTTGCAATGGCAGCGCACGCAGTGCATCTCGCACATGAAGTGCAGAAAATGAAAGGGAGGCATCATCCTCCGTTTGGATGTGAACAAGCTTACAAAAAGAAGGCATCAATTGGGGGTCAGTCAGTGATGAGGGCGAAACAAAGTTAAACGTAGAGCGCACGTGCGCTCGATCATCGGGTGTGACAGATACTGTTGACTTCCACTCAGTAAATATGCTCTGCGGTATGGGGATCTGCGCACGTACCACAGTGTTCGGTAACCGTAACGGGTAAAGCTGCTGACAGGAGAGGAACGCTCCATATACATTCACAGTGTAGACGTTAGAGAAACAGTTCAAGCATTCCATTCCTCCTAAAGGTTTGTCGCTAACAGTCGTTTCGGCACACTCATTTGTCAACTTTACACCTTCCACAGTAAGATACCAGCGTGGTGCTGGTGTTGCTTCCGGCGTGGAAAAAAGCACCCGGAGGTCCTTCACGGAAATATCCATCACGGTCACAAACGTCATGGGCGTTGCCTTTACGGAAGTTGAAGCCCCCAAAAGCAAACTGTACGCATCCGCCTCGTCCGACGCAAAGCGTAATAAACGCATCATAAAATTCACATCCGCAACTAGCCTGGGCGACTGAAGAGTGACTTCTACTCTATTGGGGTAAAAAACCTGTGGCTTCTCTTCATAAGATGTATGGAAATCGTATTCCTTCCAATTCTCGTACGATTCTGTGAAAATGACGTGAAGAAAAGGCCTTGACGCAGTGGTGTGCGTTTTTTCTTCACTCATTTCTCCCCATTCCAGGATGTTCACCTGCGGTGCGTAATTGAGATAAGGAGTAAAAGAGATGGGATCATCCAAAGAAAACTCCGCTATTTTGTTTCCATCACACTCATGAAGCTGCGCGCTCACGGAGCGTATTGAGAGTTCTGCCAGAGGCTCTTCCCACGGCAGCTCCAGTTGTACATGGATCTGGTGAACCGTCACTTCCAGCGTCAATGGCTTCGATGTCGACTCGCCCTGGACTTTAGAGGAACCGTTTGTCAACGCTGCCCATGCCGCCGCAGAGACGTCAAGCAGCAGCATGCCCATGAGAGTCGTCCACGAACACCTGGCAGTGGAAAAGTGTACACCGTTCAGCACCACATTGGTTGTCATGGCCAACATGGTGTTGTTCATACCTTCCAGCAATCTCAACGTGGTGATGCATCCACTCTCCACTTCAAGCATCCGCTTCTTTTGACTTGTGTGTGCCTCTCGTGTGATGCCATGCTGTTGCTGTTGCCATTGAGGGACTTCACGTCTCATAACGCGGCGATTGGGGCTGATATCATCTATAGTCAGAGCATTGATATGGATCATCTGCGTCACTGCATCTTCGCTTTCACCACCGTCAAACAAATAAACCTGAAACTGAGCACGCATGACAAAAATATCAGGTTCCTTAATGAGAACAAAGCGCACCGAGGCAATGGTGACAAGCAACGAGAGTGATGGTGGTGGTGACGATGATCCGGTCCTGGACACCAACCTCCCACCCCCCACTGTCGGCATTGTCACTTCAGACTCCTGCACCCCATCGGCCAAGGGAGATGCGTTAAAAATGTTGGCAGAAAATACCCATAGAAGAGCATTCAGCATGGGCATGGTGAGTTTGACATCCATCGCCGCCTCCGCCGGCACTTCCTTCGCCTTGTCATCGCGGTCCGACGGACCAATCAATACGTGAACTGCCATGTCTTCACTTCCACCCTTGACATACTCGTACCCACTCTTTTCTGCGTTTGGCACCAGCCGTGTGTAATTCTCAAAAATTAAAGACACCTGCGTAATGAATGGTAGCAACACGCCTTCGGACCCTCCCGGAGAGAATTGGGAAATGCCAAACAGCTTCAATTGCCCCCGGAGCGACGGAGGCGTTTCGACCGCAATTCGGCTGCCGTGGCGGCTGTTTCCATTGTCTCCTTGAGTCTCCGCCAAGAGGGAAACCCCATCAACAAAAAGGTAGCAGTAAGTCTCGCTGTTCAGCCAGTCCACCTCCCGGGTGGCGTCCGTTGCAAGAAGCAGCTCCAACGCTTTCACTTCACCCGAAATGACAATCGAGCCGGGGGCAACTTTCGCAGCACTCGCCGGTGTTGACTTGTGTGATATTTCCTGAGGGGCCTTCGGCGTATCGGGCAAGCCACACCTGCAGTCATCAGAGTCAAATAGATTCAACAGACTCACAACGGTGGGGTCGCGCCGCACCGAGAGCAGCCGCATCCAGTACGCGTAAAACACACCCACTCTGCCACCCCTCATGCAAAACGACACGCGAGTTCGCCCACCAACGCCACCGCCCGCGACGTTCGTGCTCTCCACGATACACGTGAAGGAAGGGGCCTCTACGCCTCCCAGAAGGCCGGTGCTGGACGCAAGAAGCGTAAATGTTTTCACACCCTCCGCGTCCTCCACAATGTACTCCACCCTATCAAGAGAACCCTGTAGTTTTAAATTTTGACCACCACACGAGTTATCAGCACGGAGTAACAATTCGTTCAGGTGCACGGCAACACACTCCTCCGTCTGGTGAAACTGAAAGCAAAGTTTCAACCGTTTTATACTCATCTCTATGAATTGGCCAGTGTTTGCGGCAGAGCCTGAAAAAACGGTCACGCCTGGATTTTCCTCCAGGCTGGGACGCGTCAGCAAATCGGAGGACGGAGTCGGTTGCCATGAGGCACAGGACATCAGCAACAGTTCCACACAATCAACAAGAGACTGACAGACCCGTATGTCCAGCACCTCGGCTTCCACAGAAGCCAGCAAGGTGGTAGTGCTATACATGACTCTCAGACCCTCAAGCACAAATACGTGTTGGCCCGAAGGGGCCGTGACATGTACATCCGGTAGGCAAATCAAGCTGTTGTAACCGTTCATAACGGAGGATGTCATATCTAGTACAAACGCATCTTTTGACGGAAGAGATCCGAATGAGGATGCCTCTTCATAGCCTGAGTTTTCCACCCCCGGCATTTCCACTTCCACAACGTCCTCGTTGTTCGTGTTACGCAAAGTTGCATGTGCAAAGTCAATACGTAAAACCAAACGGTGCAACAGTGGCGATGTGGCTTCGGCAGCAGACGGCGCGGTCCTTTCTCTGTGGTCCACTCCTCGTGCGAAAGCCGACTGGTGGAGCAGTCGGAGTAAACCGCGGCATCGGGCTCCTGGAAATGTCATGATGGTGCCTCCAACAGAAAGCGCATTGTTTGACTCCAGGCACCACTTCCCATTGTTGTTCATAACTTCACAAAGAAGAGATTCTCCAACATCTCCCTGTGAAACCCCCAAAAATTCCATGTGGTTATTAATGAGTCCAAGCACGCTGGGGGCAATTGCCAACTTGGCACGCGTACTCACCTCAGCACTCAACTGCTCAGCGAATGCCACGTCCACCCTTACGTAGGATAACACCAAAATGTCACCAATGCCCTCGCAGTAAAGTCGAACTGGTTCTTCTTCACCCACAAAGAAATGCAAGCCCACGATGGGAGGAGGCTCTCGTATGAGCCGATGCTGATCATTCTGCCCCTCTTTCTTCTCGCTTACAGTGGATAGATGAATGTCGGGGGCGTGAACAACCAGCTTCCTCTCGTTCCCGTATGCACTAAACAAAGGTACGGTAAGAAAAACTTCAGCAAAGTTAATATCCATTGTAGGCAAAGATGATAAGCGGCTGTGCGAATTGGGCACTTCACAGGGAGAGCTGAATTCCTGCTTCGTGTATTCTGGCAGTGCTGCCAGAAAATGTTGAACACCGGCCATCCACCACTGCAATTCACACCATGGCTGAAGAGTTAGAGAGGTGCTGGTGATAAAAGCACTTAACATGGAATGTGTTTCATTGACACTGATGGACAACCAAGGTTCACGCATAAAAGTGCTATCAACGACGTCCTTTCCCCTCTTTTTCCCTTCACACAACTCACGTGTGTCTAGCACAGCGGATGGCAAAGATCCGGTAAAGCCCACAGAAGCACTTTCAACGGACAGGCTGAATCCAACAATTTGTTCTTGTGGAGTTGAGGTTAGAGTGTATTTAAACTCCACAGAATTGAAGCGGGCATTTAGATTTTGCTGCAGATTCTCCAGGTATGAGAGAAGAGGCTTCTTTTCAGACAGGTCGCTCCTCCAGACGTGTGGCTCAAACTCCACATCCACCTGTGGAAACTGCGCGTCAATGAGAACAGGTTTCGTAGACGCCATGGTAGCTGTTGATGCCGGACACGACGATAATGATGATTTCATGGAATTCCCCACCACATGTCTTGTCGCAATGCACTGAAGAAAATTGTAACCAAATTCCCATTCCGCCTCAAATCCGCCTGCCACACTTTCAGTTTCATTTGCCTCACTCACGGTGGCGCTTTCATGGGCCTTCCCCTGCCTAAGCCACCACCACCACCACCACCGGCTGCCACTTGATTCAACGCTCTGTTTTTTTATCTCCCTTCGCTTCTTTACATCCTCAATGTACAACTTTTGTTGCCTCATGGATTGCCGTTCCCTACTCAGATCTGCATACGCCAGGCACCGCAAAAACACAATTTGCTCCACTGTAAGGATTTCCTCCAGAGTATCCAGATTATCCTTTTCGTCCGACGTAAGGGGTGGAAGCCACTCTACCCCCTGGCATCTCTTCCATAACGCACAATACTCCCTTCGGCGTTTGCCAAAGAGAACAACACCTTCAATGAAACGCTGATGCCCTTTTGTTTTGTTTTTGGATCTTCTGATGTCGTCCATGACGCAACAAAGAGCAAATTTCCAGCGTCGCTGCGACCATGTTAGGTTCTCCTCGTTACCTTTGGCAAGGAAGTGAAGGTGTTGCCTGTAGTTCAACCCCAGTAAACCATTTTTGAGTGAATCATTGATGATGGCTAAAAACCCAATTACGCCAAAAGATGCTCGAAGCCGGATGGGAGCAGTTGTTTTCACAGAAATCACAGATTGCTCTGCGGCATCCAACTCAATATCTGCGCTCTCTTTGCCTCCTGATAAGTGGAGGCACATTGTGAGATCCTCCACCTCAACGATATCCATCTCCCTCTGCCACTTTGACGATTCATCGCCCGGAGTCTCTGCCTCCTCAGCGTGCTGTTTTTCTATTGCATGGACTGAAACCCGCAGCCCGGTCATCACCAATTTCTTGCGGTAGGGCATTGAAAGGTCCATGACAAAACGATCCTCCCACTCCTCATCCGTTGCGGTGACGCACATGTAATCCAACGACACGCGAAGCGCACATTTAAAACACGGAGCGAGACCGTGATAGTTCACAACGTAGTTCAAAGATACATCGCGCATCACAACATGGATATTTCGTTTGATTGTCTCGATGAGTTTCTCAACGTAAGAGAGATTTTTTTTTGCCCCACCTCCGGTGTCGGATTTAAGAGCGGCGCCCGTCGCAACTGCATGGCCTTCCGTTCGACCGTCTAATCTTCCCAATTCAAACATTTGCAACTGTTTTTGCTTCACCACCATAACGCGGGCGGCATCCTCATCGGCGTTGTGTGGCCTTCCACGCAAAAGGCCAAAGAGAATCTCCACCCCATGAACCTCCACACTGATTGGCTCGCGATCAATGGCAGACCACGGAACAGTGATCGTCAACTTCTTCACTACTCCCTTGACAACTGTGAAGGGCGTCATGAGTGCCTGCGCCACCGCCTTTGCGGCATCACCGCCCGCCGCTTCCTCGTGGCCTCCGCCCTCCTGCCGACCCTGAAAGAGGAAAAGAATGATCTGGTCAATGATGTTCGTTCGCAGCTCCAGATCACGCAGTACCAAGTCACCGGACCAAAGGGAGACACGCAGTTGCTCCTCATTGAGATCACAGATAAAGCGATTGAGATATGTTGCCAGAAGGACAGAAAGTTGCTTTTCCAACATGCTACGCAATACTACACACTAATCCTGCAGCAAACGATATCTCCTTCTCCTTTCTTCGTCTCGTACTCCACACGGAAATAACAAAAAAAAAAAAAAGAACAGGGAGAGGGACACACGGTCAACGGAGGAATTCAGACAGAATAAATACCCCCCGAATTAGGAACGTCTCTCTCTTTCCCCTCCCCTGTTCCTCGTCACCTCCGGGGGTCGAGTATCACTGCAACGTTTATTTGTCTCTCTATGTATATGACTATTTATTCCTAGACAATATAAAGCTGAGAGAAAAGGACGCAAAGAGGATGAGGAACGCCCTCCACCTTTCACTGTCATGTGGGAGTTTTTCCCCGCCAGAAGGGAAAAAAAGCACACAAGAAGAGTACATGATAAAAATGAGAAGGGCAAAAGAAATCAACAGAAAAGAGTAATCAATTTAACCACGGTCCGCTTCCTGCGCAAAAAAAAAAAAAAAAGAGGTAACACTTGTTATATACATAATTCATTGAGCGGCTAATAATAATACACAATTATTCATCCTCATCTTCTCTTTCCAATTTCCGTTCTCCTTCCATCACAATTCATTCTTTCCAGATGTCTCTAGTGAGAAGCTGCATCGCCAGCACCTCCTTAAACTTCTCCACTGATACATGCCCCTCTTCATCGGCCGCATGCTCAATCGCCTCCTCCTGAGCAGGAGAAAGGCCAATACTTCCTTCTCCGGCAGCTGTTGCTAAGTTCTTGCATGTATTCCGTAGTTGGCTGACCGTCACCCAGCGCTGCTTCGTCACATCTATAAGATCGAACATCGTTTCAAGATCCTGCTCCCCAAAGAGTGGCGTCGATGTCTTCGTGGCTATCATGAGCCGGATCTCTCGCTGCAGGAAGGCACGAGGGTTTTCCGGCTTGTGATAAATTAGCAACTGCAGAAAGTGCGCAAAAATCTCATTGAGCTTGTGCTGCTTGACGTACATGCGGGTAAGCGCTGCCTGGTCGCTGGCATCCAACGCCGTCTCCATCCCACTCACCAAATCCCGTCCTTCTCGCACGCAGGCGGCAATTTCCCCTTCGTGAGAAAACACACCTGAAACAAGAGGAAACAAAGGCGTATAAACACACACACACAAAAAAAAAAAAGAAGTAACAAAGACACGACAAACACCCACATACATACAAAGAAGGAAAGAAAGAAAAAAAAAAAAAAAGAAAAACACAAGGAGAAGACGAAACACAAAGTAACGTGTAGAGCACAATAAACCAAAGAAAAGAAGGGACACAAATATAGGGCAGGGGTAAAAAAAAAAAAAAAAAGTGTGATACAATACGAGAGGAGTGGAAGAACCCCAAACCTCGCTCAAAAAAAAAAAAAAAATTTTTTTGCATACATACGTACATACAATTGCCCTTCTCCTTCTCCTTCTCTTTCCCAAATAAATAAAATCCCGCCAAAACTTTCTTCACACTCCACAAAAGCCATAAAACTCCCTCAATTCCTTTTATTCCCTTGTCCTACAGATATTTCTCTTCCCACCACCCAACTGCACACGCAAAAACACACAATTTCAAGGAATACGCATAAAACCATAATGCAATGCACCAAGCAAAAGTTATAAAATCATCCCTTCTTTTTTTTTTTTTTTCTTTAATTCTTTTGTCAAATCTTACTTTAGCGCTTTGATGGCTACAACTGGGTGAAAGGCAGTGATAAAATAAAAGCGACAACCACATTTTCACTTTTTTCTCTGCCTGGCTGTAGCAAATAAAATAAGGCGTGGGGTGACGAAACAACTAAGACAGAGGGAAAGCAAACAATGGACAACGGAGAAGCCTCCATTTTAGTGCTTCTCCGTTTCTTCTTTTCACTTTTCATGGTGCTTCCTTTATTACTACCGTGCTACGACGGAGATGCGGACAAAAGGAGGGAGAAGCCAAATCTGTAACCAATTTTACAGCCATGCCTCCCCGCCAAACCTCCTCACCCCTCATCCATTCACTCTCTCGGTGCATCCCCGAAAAGGGGATGGCTGCCCACACAGACACACACACACACAAGAAACATACACAACAACAACAAATACACGCACAAAAAGAGAGAGAGAAAGAGAGAGATGGATGGAGTCCTACATACGACAGTAGAATTACAGGAACAACAACAAACAAAAAACAGACGGATACATATTTTCCTCTTCAAAAAAAAAAAAAAAAAAAATAGAGCGTAGGGCTTTCAGTGACGTCTCCGACGTTGTCTCTCCAAGCTAACCACAAGCGCCGCCCGCTCTAACCGTTTTTGATATGCCTCCAGTCCATTCAAAAGACTTGAGAGTTCTTCTTCTATCACTTTTGAGCTTTCATCATAGTCGTCTTCACCTTCGTCAAGAAGACGATATTTATTTGGCGGCGTTGTTGTACGCAGACTGCGACGTGCCACGGCGTATGGAGAAGTGGGAACAAGAGGCCCTCTCAACTCCATTGGGTGTTCATCCATCTGCTGCGACGGCAAAACGCCGGTGGAACGCCTCGGTGGGGTACCGTAGGCACCAAGAAACCGCATAAGCTCCTCATTCTCTGGAGGTCGAGAACGAGAGATGGAAACTGGTTGCGAACGTGCACGAGTCGCATTGCTCCGGGGTGCCGCGTAGGGGGTTCCAATGGATGATCGCCAAGGACTCATCCGCCCATGCCGTAAACCAGAAACAGCATCTTTTCTCCATTCGACTTGTTCATCGTTAGATGCCTGTGGTGCCGGATTTTTCCCCATTGAAGGGTCCCTCGTGAACGGATTCCCAACAGTATTATTGACGGAGGTGTTTTCACGAGGCCTTGTCCACGAGGAGGGTTTTCCGCGAGCGGGAGAAACGCTGAATGGGCGCTCATTGTCTTTATTGCCGCTCTGGGAAATGCATGTCGGATTCCCCTCTTTTACACCAAAACATTTACCCGGCATTTTCTCTTCCTGCGGCGTACTTGTGGTGGCCACTCTCGATGGCCGCAAATTCTCCGCGTTACCTCCCGCTGAAATTTTCTGACGAGAGAGCTGCGTGGAAGAGAAATTGTCCTTCTTTTCTTCTGATGGATTCGATGCTGGCGCTCGCACAGAGGGCGGAGAAGTTCTATCCTCTCTCCGATCCGTGCCGCTCTTTTCTCCTACAAGCTTCCTCGGTTCCACCGGTCTACTAGCCGCTGACTCCACACCAGAAGCCATGGAAACTCCTTTTGGTAGCAAAGTTCCTGTTTGTGGTGAAACCTTCCCCCCCAAAGCGTCTCGTGCGAGTCGCCATCGACTGATCGGCGGATCACCTTCCTGCGCCGCTGCACCGGCCACTGCAGTGGGCTGTGTGAATGGGACTGCAGCACTTGTATAATTTCCACGAGAGGTTCCAGTTGGCTGGGAAGAAAATTGTCGCGTTGCTGCGCTCTTGTCAGATGGTAATACTCGATCACTTTTGGTCTGTGCAGCAGGGGGAGATGATCCCCGAGTTTCCGTTGAGCTCAGGCCCTTTTTTGCTGCGTCTCGTGCGAGTCGCCATCGACTGATCGGCGGGTCGCCCTGCGCTGCCGCACCGGCCGCGCCAACTCCTCCGTCTGTGGAGACTTGCCGTGCAGCAGCCGTAGCAGCAGGCATTGCGGCATTTGGCTTTGTGTTGGAAGGAGTGGCAGGTGCTAAACGTCCCCTGGCATCCATGACTGCAGCTGCCGCGCGAGTTTCTAAGGGCAGAGCACCGGCCGTGTTCCGCATGGGTGTGTGGAATACCTCTTTTGGCACTGCTACGAGGATCTTCCAAGCCCCCTTTGCCAACGCGTAAACGGCGGCGGTTGCAGCACAAAGTAAATAGATTGGTGGCAATCCTTGACGTTTAAAAGGCAACAACAAAAACGACAACAGGCAAACAGGTAAACAGGGAATTTGACATCAAAATGTTAATAAAAGCGCAAAAATTAAGACGCATATTTTTGCAATGTTATGTGTTTCTCAACCCGCCAGTCAGTCCGTAAGTCAATAAAAATAAAAGTAAAAGGGAGGCAGAGGGGCGGGAGTGCCATTATAACCAAAAGTCCCCTCTCCATGCCTAACCATAACCCCCTGTCCAACGGAGAACAAGGAGCAACAACAACAACAACAACAACAACAACAACAACAACATACAACACCCAGCAAAAATAAAGAAAAACAACAACAAAAAAGAAAAAAAAAAAAAAAGAGAGAGAAAGGAAAGTAAAACGCCGCAGTCAATAATAGAAGAAGACTATGACAGAGAGTGGTGAAAGAACACGCCGTCTTTATACATATATATATTATTAGTGTTTTATTATGTGTCTGCTTAAACTATCATAACATAGTTCATGCTTCCCTCTCATGCGTCATCACAATGTCAATATGTTCTGGATTACCACCTGCCACAACACCGTTCTCCTTTTCCCCGCGCAAACGTGAAAGAGAAAAGTCCACCATCAGTTATCATCGCTGGAAGAGACATGTCGAGTAACGAAGAGGCATTTCCCAAATATATATTTTTACGGGAAAAAATAAACGGCATGAGGAGAGGAAGGGATTCTCCTCTTCAACAAAGGAGGCTCCGTTGCAACAAGAACCAGCCAACAGCCCACGTCAAGAAGGGAAACAACCAACCAAATAACAATAAATAATAAATAAATAAATAAACGATGGAAAATAAAGCGGGCGGAAAAAAATAATAATAATTGCATCGTCTTTAAGTATTCTCTCATCCCGCAGGCCAGAAAAAAAAAAAAAAAGTAATACAGTAGACACACACACATATATAAATATATATATATATATATGTATTCACAATACTCCCAAACAAACTAAGACAATTGGTCCTTTTGGTTTCATGCTACAATGACGAGAATTTACACCCGTCAGTCAAAATAAATATGCACCAATAAATTCCCCACCCCATTCTCCTCTTTTTCCATTCCCCCTCCTTCCCATTTATTTATTTATTTATTTTTTTTTTCGGTTTGTTTTTTCTCTACCCCTCCATAAAAATTTAAAAAAAAGAAAGAAAAGACACCCAAAAAATAAAAAAACAAAAGAAATCTTCGCCTCGGGTGTTTTCTACCCATTTGTTTTTTTTTTTTTTTTTTTTTTTTGTTTTGTCCCTAGACTTCGCTGCTGCTACTCATGCCGGGGTCCCACGTTTAAAACTCCAGGAGGCAGCTTACCATGATATCGGCCGTTGGCAACTCAACGAGCTCCCGTTTGTTGTCACTCGAGGAGGAAAGCAACGTCCTCAAGAAAGTGCCCACGGAAGAAACAGCGGCTTCTAAGGGCTCTTCGAGATTTAAACCAACAAGATTTTCCTCCTCACCCTCACCTGCTGTAACTGTGATTCCCGACATAGCACTGTCCCCAGCCACAAATCTTATTGCCATGGATGGATCCAGACGTTCTTCTCCATCAGGAAGCGCAGAGGCTGGCACTTTCTCTTTAGAATGGATGTGAGTCGCCAGGATTTCTCTCCCCGGCGCGGCATTTTCTCCACGCAATTCATTCATCTTATCGGAAAGTTTCTCCATAACCTTCGAATGGAGTTCATTCATTTTGGGAAGAGAAAAGGATGAAACTCCCTGACGCGCTGGTTTCGATGCACCCGCCGTAGTACTTCCAACAGCCTCCATTTCTTTCGTACCCGCTTTGGTGGGCACGGTCGAATTAGGTAAAAGTTTATCCGACCTCCCTTTCGGCTCGCTTTTACCATCCAGCGAACCACGACTCGATGCACCGCCATCCGCCCTTAACCCAGGAATTGGAATGGGGGCAGTGTTGGGACTGTGGCCGCTGACGTTTGGGTAAGTCGTATTGTCCGCATTTTTCCCTCCACGATTCATTTCAACAGGAGGTGGGGAGTCGCCGCCCGCCGCAGCTGAAGTCCCCACGTTGATTTCGGCTTGAGATCTTACATTTTCGTTCACGGTCGAAGCCATTTTTTCGCCCACCGTCTTCTTTTTAGTCCTCTCTGGTAGAATAACTTCATGCGTCCGAAGAGGGACCAGTCCTGAACCCCATGCGTTGGGCACAGACACATCCGGCGTCGGCATTTCGCTCCTCCCCGTCAAGATCTCCGCATGGTCCAAAACTCGAATGGCTTCGGACTCGTTGAGACGAAATAGAACTCTTTCCGGTGTTGCATGTCGCCCCGTTTCTCTGCCTCTGGAAGGCGTTCTCCTGAAAACTTGAGATCTCCTTGCACCGCTGGCGGATTCCGACGAATCACGCGGTGGGAACACGTTCGACACAAATGTCCTCCACTCAGTTCCCTCCTCTTTCCTCTCGTCTGCCTCAGTATAGACAAAAAAACTGTGCCGATGCGAACTTGAGAAGTTCCCCGAACCACGAGGACTGTCGCGGAAAGAGGATATAGGAACAGAATTTGTTCGCATTCGCATCGACTCAAGTGTTTCTTCGTGTTTACGATGGGGCGCTTTGCGGCCGCTGCTTACTTTGAAAGGCCATTCATTATCAGAAATAATCAATGGGGCCACATATGGGCTACGGGAGGCGTTTTCGAAAGTGTCAATTGTTTCCCTTCTCCGAGATGAAAACGAAACCGCTCGACTTGGACGTCGATGAGGAGTTGAAGAGTTAGAATGACTCTTGCTGAATAGCCCGGACCTCCTATAACTCCCCCTATAAAAGGGGAAATGGTAATCTTCACTTATGCCAATCCTGTCAGCTCGAATAACGTGACTGCCACGTGCTGCTCGCATTGACTCGCGTACCGGCGAATTGGAAAAGGGATGAGAATTTGTCGGAAAATCCAACCGTAATCCCCGTCGAGCTGATCGCACCGGTGTCACGGGCTCTTCAAGTGGCTCAGGTGTCTGTTGACGCTCAGGGTTTAACTTTGGCAGGCGGTTTGCCAAAGGGGCATTGACCTTTTCGCTTTCCAAGCTTAACCTGTTTTGAGCCATGGCAGCCATGCAAGCTGAAGCAATATATATATATATTTATATTTATATTATATCTATATAAATAAGTATCTATGCAACGCTGAATACGTAGATAATTACAACAACTTTTTTCTCCCTTTTGGGATTCCGTAATGATACACGTGGAAACAAAGAAAGACAAAAAAAAAAATGAGGTGAGGATGGAAAGTAATAATAGAGAGTATAATGATAATTTGGGGGGCAAAGTGCCTTAAATAATGAAAAAATTATGCTTTTTCTTTGCGTGTATGTAATGTATGTCCGTGTGTTTGTGTTTCATTCGTCCGCCCCGAAAATCACACGGCACTGTTAAGTAATAAGAACTTCAATGCCACATAGAGCAGACATAAATATATGTATCCATTACAAAAGTCCAATTCTCTTGTAAAATGAGAGAAAACAAAAAATATCATATCCTTTTCCCTCCACGTAATAGTGATAATATGAGTGCATATTTACATTTGGAGTAATTAAATACATACAAGGGGAAACACACACGTTGAGCAATGCCTTCACAAGGAATATCAAACAACTTTCATTTACGGTCTTTATTTGATATTGTTGATGCAGTGATACGCCACAAGTCCGCTTGGTGTAACTTCAGAGGACCGAAGTGCAACGCTGGACTTAGCTGGGACGGTATATGGGATGGGTCTGGTAAAAACTTTGTTAGGATTCAACCCTTTGGTGCGTAATTCCGGTGCGAGTGTAAGCATTGAAGTGGTTGAAACGTCAACCCCACGCACTCTTGTCTCTTCTTGGTTAACTCGATGCATAATGAAGTACGCCTCACCGTTCAGTACCATCACACGAAGATACCGCCATCGAATAAGTGCCCTTTGCCGTGCCGACTCATACGACCCGTCATTAAAGCGCGCGAGAGCAGAAGTCATGAGGAGAAACGCAGTGGTTCCACCATCATCTGTGATATGCCCCAGAGAGAATCGTTGAAACACTGTCGAGGGAGTTCGTTGAACCGCCTGTTTTCGCCTAGCTGACATACGCAGCCTACTAAATTTCTCAGGCATCTCACCAGGCAATAGAAAGGGTGAATTTTTGTTATACGATGCCCTTCGAACCTCTACGTTGTTAAAATCAAAAACCTCCAAATTTTTGTCAAGAAAAAAGTCCTTCGGCTTCGTCACGGACGATTGCACCGTCGTTGAGTACAAGGGTGATGGCATGATCGACAGCTGTGTTCCACCCGAGTCTTTCGTCTTCTCCGATTCGCTGCTGGAGGAAATTTCGTCACTCTCCTCCGTCGCTGTCCGAGAGGATTCCCTTCCCTTTTTCTTGCGACGTGCTCCCTTTTCTTCCCTCCGCGTCACCTCCAGTTTCGCGGCGATCCACTGCCTCGTCCCCGCGTAGAAGTTCTCCGCCCATGTCTTCAGTTCGGATTCGTTGCTCAGCACAGCGACAGGGCATGTCGGGTCGGGCAAAAGTTTGTCACTATGAACGGCACTCAAAGGATGATAGAGGAGTGCAAAGCGCTGCGAATTGTTATAACCACGGATGCTCGGCAGCAGCGGCAGCAGGGTGGGGTCACTCCCGATGCGATGCGCTCGGCCCACCATGATGTTGGAATCCGCAATATCGTCACGGGAGGACAATTTCTCCACTTTCTTTTCGCCCGAAATAATGCGAAAAATATCGCTCCCAGAGAAACTTTGATCATCATCCCACCCCATGCTGGACTGATCCGTGCTGCCGCCACAACGTGAGTTGTGTGAGTAGGTACACGAATCGGCTTCACTGATGGTAAAAAAAGAGTCTGAAGAGGTGGGAACGGACGTCGTTCGCTTCTTTAAGATCGGGGTGAAAAGAAACATAACGTAATCCTCCGTAGTAACGCCACCGTGCATGACGATGAGTTTTGAGCCGGTACGTCCTTCACGCGTATCGGAGGCGTCCGTCACCGCGAAGGCGTACTTCCGCTGAAAACGTGAAACACCCCCGACCGAAAAGAACGGGATTTTTCGTTTATTCTCCCGCAGGGGAACTTTCTTGGACCGTCTGCCAAGTGGTTGTAAGTTGGCCAAGGAGCCGGACCTTGACGCCCTGCGCGCTGTCAATTCCGACACCACACGCCTGGGGAAATTTACGGGGATGATGGACCACGTCATGTCACAAAACTGCAGCTTGAAAAACCCGTAGCTGGCCATCTTTGTCCTTGACCGCGTTTTCGTATCGGTCGCTGCTCCAGAAGAAATCCTTTCCAATTTCTTCCGAAAGATAAAATTCTCAATAGGGGCTAAAACCAGTGGGAAAAACCACTCCTCGCACAAATCCTCATAGACGCCCCCCATACTAATCATTTCCCGGAGAAAATACTCCCACACGCCACTCATGCGGAAAGGGATAGGGGAATCCAGGGAGACTGGCGTATTGACCTCCACCCACACCCCGGAATGAACATTCATCTTGAACACACTGGGTATTTCACGGGAAGAACTCAGCAAGACATCCTTTTCTACAAGCCCAACGACAATAATGGAGCTTGAAGAAGTGTTATATGCCGCACAACACATTTGAACATGAAGCGGGTCCACAGAGTCCGGTCCACGAATTCCAGTCCACACTCGGTGTCTAATATCAAAGGAATGTGCAATGTACATGTTATGCTGACGCTGATGAAATCCTCCAATAACGATCATTGTTTGAGTGGGCGGCACGTACACCGCAGCATGTGAAAAAACAGGGCCAGGCCCCTGAGCTCGCTCGTAGTTGACCTTCTCCCACCTCATTGTTTCAAGGTTAACAAGGTACATATCGTCAAAAACCTCTAAATTTCGGTGCCCTCCAAAAATAATCATCCTCTTTTCGTGCATGACGGCACTGTGGTTGGCACGCCCACTTGGAACCACACCGACACCACGAATTTCTTTCCATTGCAAGGTCATTTTAACGTTACAAAAGATGCAACTTGAGTAGGTATTTTTAGGCCCGTAGCCGCCGTACAGGTACAAGTCTTGCTTGTAGACGACAATCGTGTGACCAACTCGCTGCAGGCCGTTGTTCATCTCGGGCAAAATCGCCCCACGAAGCGCAGCTATTTTCACCTCATCGGCCGTGGTCCCCCTCCGAATGCCTACAGACGTTCTCCGCCTATGCAACATGTTGGCCAATCAAATTTGTTTTGCCAAAGAAAACCAAAAAAAAAAAAAAAAAAAAAAATGAAATTTGTTGTTGTTTCTTCGTTTTATTATTATTTTTTGTTGTTGTTTTTTTTGGGGGGGGGGGGAGTGGGGCACAAAATTGCATAAAAAACAGGGAGAGGCCGCACTCTCTCTCTCTCTCTCTCTACACAAACACACACGCAGTCGCACGTCACGGCGGTGTTATCTTCCGGCGATAGAAGAAAAAAAAAAAAAAAAAGAAGGGAGGGTAAAGAAAAAAAAAAAAGACAACAACAGAAAAGTTTCCGCACAAAACAACAAATCAAATACAAACAGAGACCCGAAAATAACTGCATCGAAGAAGATCTGTTAGACAACAGCAACACCATCACGAAGCAAGTAATAAAAAATAATAATAAGAAGATTAGGAATACAAGGCGGAAATTGTACACAACCTTCATTATTCTTGCCGCCCTGTCCCTTCAAAGATGTGGCATGCGGGCTGCTTCACCCATCTCGAGGGACGTCAAACCACAGGCACATCTTCAGCATAAAAGTAAAAGGCAACACCGGGGCAGAAAGAGACTCGATCAGCTCCAAATCTTCTGCACTCGTCTCACTGCCATCCGCCGCAACTTTGTTGAGTTTCTCGACTAACTTCTGCGTAAAGACTTCCGAACCGGACGGAAGTTGCTTTTGTGAAGCCGCTCGTCGAAGATTCTCAGACGCATCCAAAGCCATCTGCAAATCGCGATGGAGGCCAACAACGTACCTCATTTTACTCTTTGTCATGACAAGCTCAAAGAGCGCCAACTCCCTCTCTTGGGGCGTGAGCGGGGAGCCACTTCTCTCCATACGGCTTACAAGTACCTCAAGCTCCTCCTCAGCCGCTGCCCGCACACTTCCGGCCGTATTCTTCGCCATAAGCTCCACCTCTGGTGTTTCACCCCGTATGATTAAGTTGCAGTGCTTCAGGACACGGAGGCACCCATCTTGGCCCGAAACATTTCTGGTGCTATCCGTCTCCTCCAGTACACAGTGAAGATCCTCTGGCGTGACAGCAAGTTGTTGCGCCGTCGTGAGCACAGCACGTCCAATAGCTCCCTTTTGCATTTCCCAACGTTTCTTCTCTCGCGTCAAATATTCGTCCAGGAGCGCCATATTCCTCTTTTCGTGTTCCTCCACCTCCGTGCTTCTTGGGCTAAGTGGATTCTCGGCATCACCGCCATCGGGTAGCGTCAACTCAAAGGCGGCCTCCAGCAGCGTTACACGCAACGCAGTCGGCTGCTTCCAGAAGGGCGGGTTATCACACAAGGCAGGGTGTGCGTTCCCTGAAGAAGTATTCTCGCTCTCCCCCTTGATGAACGCTTCAGCAACGTCGCCAGAATTCTCCTCAAGAACACGACGCCGCGTCGTTTCCATGGAAAGTTCAACGTCCTCAGGCCCCATGGGAGGCATGTACTCCTTCGCAACAATTCCTGCTTCTGCCGCAGAAGAGTCAGCGGGTGTGGGAGAAGATGTCAATTTTGTGTTCTGCTCCGTCCCGCTTCCCATTTGGTTGCAGACACGTTTGACCGTTTCCGCAAGTACGTACGCAAGGTCCGCCGCCCTTTCCGCTTCCCCGTTCGCGACACAAATTGTCAGCTCTCGATGCAAGCGAAGCGCAGACGGATGAGCCCTAAAGATGTCCGTGAGCGTTGCCATTGGGTCCCGATGCGTTCGCGAGACAGTTGTCGATGCAGTCGTTGTGAGAACCGTTTCGCCCTGCCCACAGCACCCATAGCGCTGCGACAGTGTTGCCCCATTCCTGCCAGCCCGAGAAAATTGCGCCGGTAAAAGAAACGCATGCAACCCGGACCAACTCCTCATATTAAACAACACTTGTTGCGCTCGGTATCCTACAAGCAGCCCTTACACCCCAACCACCCCCCCCAAAAAAAAAAATAATAATAATAATAAAATAAAATAAAATAATAAGAAGAGAAACAGTGTATCACACGATTGCCTTCATGCATGCACAAAACCACCCAAACAAATATTTGCCAGACGCGATAATCCCCCCCTTCCTCCCTCCTTTGACATGAGCACTTCACCTTCAAAAAAAAAAAAAAAAAAGCGGGGGGAAAGTGTAAAAACTCAATGTTTGTATCATATTTCCTGTCTTCCACCTTTCTTTTCTCTGCAACGCGCATGAGGAACTTCAAAAGAAAATCAATTGAACCAAATGGTGCACAATAAATCCATGCATAAAAAATGATTTGGAGGCGGGCAGCAAAAAAAAAAAAAACACGAAAAAGAAGACATCCAACCCTGTCAGTGCAAAAGTAACACGCCGTATATTTCACCGTTTCAAAATCCCGCATGGCAAAAAAAAGAAAAGAAAGAAAAAAAAAACAGCAAATGCCATTAAGCAGATTATACAAATCTACCGTCCTTTACACTACCAAGGAGGCCATAAATCTTTGGGCCAACGATGGATCTAATTCTACGCGTCGGCGAAAGTGATGGTCTTCCTTCAGCTTGGCTTTCAAGAGTGAGAGTCGCTTCTGCTTATCTGCCTCCTCAACGAGAGTCTTCTGTCTCTCGCGCTGCTTAAGGGCCTTCATATATAATTGCTCACAGGCCACTTTTTGAATGCGAGATCCCGATCTTTGCGGAGAATTGGCTGGAGACGGCTTGGACTCGTCTTTCTTCACCCGCGACAAAGAGGCCACTGTGGCCTTACTGTACCTTGCAGCCGCCCAACCACCTCGTATGATAAAATTCTTATTTGTCGTGGGATGAAACGTGCATCCCCGCAGTTCCTTCTCCTCCTTTTGTTTTGCAAGTTTCGCAGCGCTATTGTACCCTTGTCGAGAGAGTCGCCACGCCATTGCATCCTCCTCCTCCTTGGAGAGACGACTCGTCTTGAGATACTCCCGCAGTTGGTTGGGATCTTGAATAAGTTTGTGTTTTATGTTCTCGGCTTCTACCTCTCGCTCCCGCGGCGTTAATAACCGCCCCGGTGGTGTATTTAACTCTAGTCGGGCGAGAATTCGGGCATGAAGCGCCTCCTCCAACTCCTTCTGCTCACGGTTTAGTTCTGCCCGTCGTGCCTTTTCCCGCTTCTCCGCCATGGATTGCACGCCTTCGTTATAGAGACGTTGAAACAAGGCATTGTTCACAGCACTAGCTCCACTTCGTGTGGTTTGAAAAGAATTAAGTTGACTATTGTTCACCCGGTTGGGGGTCGTGCAATAGAGACGGTCAAAAAATTCCTCGCGACGCTGCTCGCGTTTTAGCAGCCGCTCGCGACGCCGCGCTGCACTTTCTTCTGTCTCTGCCATCAAACGCTTTTTGGCCTCCTCCAACTTCATGTAATGATAAATGCGACAGCGGCGTTCGTCTCGATCACGGCGGTTGTTCATGTGATACAAGCGCTCAAACGGGCTTCGAAGCATCTCGTACTCTGTTATCATGTCGTACTCTCTAACTTGATTGCAAATATTTTCCATCTCATCATCCAGCATGGCCAAAATATCCTCCTTTTCTTTAATTCGCCCCCGCTGTGAAGACTCCAGCGTACGACGCCGTCTCAACCGGTCCAACGCCGGACTATTGGCGACCACAGCCCGCAACGGTGCGGAGTGTGTGCGGGGCATGCTGGCACTCTCTTGTACACGGCAAGGATAAAGAAATGCCCTACCACGACGAGGGGAAGCCCGTAGACTGCGCTTCGGGGTGAAATCCGAGGAGTGGGAGCGCACAGAAGATGTACCATTAGACACCTGTCTCCTCCGGGGTCTGTTATCATCTGAGGCACTACGCGTGGGCACAGCAGGAAGTGACGAGTTACTTTTCTCTCCGTGGCTACTCCTTCTTTCACCCTTTTTGGAGGCGCAACTTCCCCGGCCACTCCATTGGGACCGTGGCTCCACTTTCTCCTTACGCCGTAAACGATTTGCCCCTTGAATATCCCCTTCAGTTTCACCACTATGACGAAGGCTCCCACTCTCCACAGACGTTTGCCCCGTATGCGAAGAAGTGTTCATTGTTTTTTCTTCTAGATGCCAAGGAGAGATTTTCAACATTTCTTTCGCTTTCTTTTTGGTTTCAGTGCCGCGCCGTTGAGTGTATTTATTATTCTCGTAGACATTGGCCAAATTTGTGCCGTGTTTATTGCTGGGTTCCGCAGTGCGCTTCGCATCACCATCACCGCCACTGCACTGAGGCGGCGCACTGGCTTCACGAAACGTGACGGAGGGATTTTGCACAAATTGAAAGCCACTCAATATGGGCGATTTGGATTCACGGAAGCTCTCGTCATCTATTGCAAACTCTATAGATGACGTACCATCGTCATTCCCCCCTGAATGCGGATGCTCATCCGTCCTCTCCCCATTTGAGAGTCCTAAATGTCCAGCCTTTGTCGACTCCCGGCCCTGGATTGACAAATCCGGCAGCGGGTGCATCGTAAATTCTAATTGATGAATTTCGCCGTCATTCGACCGAACGGAGGGACTCTTTTGTTTCTTCCGCTGCGCCTCCGCTGTTGAAGACGCCGAGCTCGAAAGACTACGAACGGGAGAAGCAGAAGAAGGAAAAACATCTAAATTTTGCTCCGAAGCGACAGGCTGCCATTCGGGTGTTCTCGAGGGAGAAATTGGCGTGCACGCGCCGTGTGAGTGGTAAGTGGAGGAATCCTCGTCCGTCAGGTTCATTGCGCGCGATAACTTCCTCCCCCCTCTCCCTCTTTATCCCTTTCTCTCCTCGAAGCGGCTGATCAAATGGGGGAAAATTGTTTACCCTAACCTTCTATTCCTGTTAAAATAAGAAACGCACAGAAGAAAAAAAAAAAAAAAAGAAAAGGAAAAGAAAAGGAAAAAGCACAACCGTCTCCAAAGAAATCCCTCCTTTCCCCAATCCGACAAGCAAGAAGTAATTATATATGAAAAGAAGGAAAAACAGCAGACATATGATGGTGGGAGGTTGTGGCTTATGCAGTGAGTAATAACAAGGAAGCGGTATTCAAACCCAATATCCATAAAGAACAAATTAAATAATGTAACACGATACCATCCTCTCCTCCTCCTTTTATCACGTAGACATTTACCAATGCTACGCTTCCAGATGGTCGGAGAGACGTTGAATGAGTTCCCGCTCTTTGGCTGCGGAATCGTCACCGTTAAGTTGTCGCATTTCCCGCTGCATCTGCAAAAACAACAAGACGGTTGATACATCCTTCCCCTGCTGGAGTTGTTGTACCATGTTTCTATTGTCATGCATAAAAAGCTGTCTTGTAGAGTAAACCAAACCCTCCGCGTAGTCATCCAGAGCCATCTGCAGTTCCAAGACATCAGACTTTTGCAAAGGTTCTCCATTTCGCTCTAAAGGTGATGAATGCTGCAACCCCATGAGGCGAGATGCAATGTCTAGATGAAATGGGATAATCAAGTCACTTGGGGAGAAGAAGTCTTCTTGATCCTCTCGCGGTTGTGCTTCGGTGTGCGATGGCCGCGAGGGAAGAAAAGAAGTGTTCCCAGCAGTAGAGGCGTTTCTAGTTTCTCTTCCCAAAGAAGGTGCCGTGAGGGCTGACCCAGTGACCCCCGTGGGGCGTGCCATTGAGTTCTTTGGTACAGGCGATCTCTTGCTGTGCATGCGCTACACGCAGCAACGGAAACAAAAACAAATGAGAGTAAGCAAGGTGAAGAAAATATCGTTTTCATTCACAACAAGTCCACCGATAAAGCATAAATAAACACACACACACACACACACACACAGTGAGAGAGAGGGGGAGCCGCAGAGGCCACAGCACATTCATACCATTATTATTATTATTATTAAATATTAGTCGTATTCGGTTTATGTTGCCTTTAATCGCATGTAAAAAGCAGGGAAGGGAAAGAAGAAAACAGAAGCACGAGGACAGGGAGGGCGATGGGGTGCTCTCGTTAATTGTTCTCCCTTGCCCTCTTCGCCCTTTCACGCTCCTTTTTTCCGGGACGCCGGTATTTCCCCGACTGACCTTCTCGTCTCTCGGCATTGATCAAGCCCTCCGTCGCTCCTTCGGTTTTGGATCCCTTTTGGGTGGACGGAGCATTGCTTTTGGCAAACTGCCCCCTTTTTCTATCCCTCCCCTCCGTCACTTCACTCGATATCCCCGACACCGACGGCGCCTTTTCATAATCGTGCGATACGCGTAGCGCCCGCAGGAGAGCCGCGCTCGTTGCCGTGCTGATTTGGTGCTTCTTCTCACAACTCGTAAGCAACGGCGCCATGCGTCTCAATTCAAAACTGTAAGAATATTTGACGTTATTGGCCTGCGTCGCCAACACACCACCGCCTTCATAAGAATCTTTATTCGTTGGCAAAAGCGTAAAATCTTCTTTGCGCGCAATGACCTCGAGCGCAGGCATGAATGATGTCATCGTGCTCCGCCATGCTACTAGAAGCCGTGAAAAGAGTGCGGCTTTATTTCTCTGAGGCACAACATTGCCGGCGGCATCGCTACTGTTTCTCGCGAGCCCCTCAGCACACTCGTTGATGCAGACCACCATGCCTTTGTGAGCGTCTGGCTTCGATCTCGGGAGAAGGCTCTGCAGCCGTACCCTCCTCGACCCCGCAGATCCGCATGTCACAAGAGTGTTTGCCACATCCCACTCCAGCACAACATTCTGCCCCGCGTGTTTTCTACGGGAACATGCGGCGGCAACAGCCTCCTCAACCGCTGAAATTCCCTTTGTGGCATTTAACAACACCGCCTCAGTCGCCAAGCCTGCAAGAGGAAAGTATAGTGTCCTCTTCCTGGTCAGACCAAGTACCCACAAGAAGGCAGCAAGGCTTGGAACAACAAATTCCTTCTCCAGCAGAGACCGCGTATCTAAAAAGGTGTCCTCCACTGTGGAGCCAGGATGCAGATTGCAGGCGATAATATAACGGAATGTGGTGTACACCGCCTGAGAGAGAAATAACAGGGCTCTTTCCTTCTCTTCCTCAACAGGAGGCCGTGACTGGGCATCGGCATAATGTGCGGTCTCCAGAATGCCCCCCAAGAAGGAACAGTCAACTGCAACTGCAGCAATTTCATTTGATTGCTTCTCTGGATGCGCCAAAACGTCATGGAGAGAAAGCAACGAACGTCCCATCACCTTTTCATAGCCCAATTCCGCGGTGTCGTATTTCATCCGGCAATACGCTTTCCAGCAAGACTGAATGTCCACCTTTGTCGCCCCACGAACAAGAGGCGGGACGCTACTTCCGTTACCCATGACAACAACAAAAAGAAACACCATATCTATGCAACTATTCTGAAGAATCTCCGCCTCCGCGGCGTTTTGTGCGGTGATGGCGGGCATGGGGGAAGGCACACAATTCCCGGGCCCTTCCTCATCAACATCACTGGGGTCACCATCGGAGTCACTGAGCACGACGCAAGTGCCAGTCGCCACCATCGGTCCGTCCTGTTTTTGGCGGCGAACAATCTTTTCTTCTTCTCCACCCTCGTTCTTCACACTCTCCCTTTCCAGACTGAGCTGTCGTTGTTGTTGTTGTTGTGTCTGTGGTGACACCTCGGCTCCCTCATCACCCCCAGCAAACGCGTCCACACACCGAGCGATATATGCCAAAACGTGTGCGACTCGCAAAACACACATCTCAAGCATGGTGTCATGAAGCTTCGTTGCAATGGTCACTGTGTGCGGTGCGGGTCCGCATAGGACTCCACAGAGTACGTCCGAGTCCTCTGAAACGAAGCAAAACGTCGGCAACTTTACCTTTGCAGCAAACGCCTGCGTGACAAGTTGTCTTTGAAGGTCAAGGATCTTGTAGTCCGCCTCCCCTGCAACCTGCCGGCCACTGATAAGAATCTGCGGCTGCGGCGCATCGGCCGTGGCAATTTTGTTGTAGTGCTGCTGTAGCGCAATGCAGAGTCGTTGAACGGCGACATCAGCGTCCAGCACTGTGGCGTGCGTGCGTTGACTCCTTGACGTCCCGGCACGGTGTCGCTGTGCATCCATGGCAAACACAACCGCTCGACGCACCTTCAGATGCGGCTGCATAAGGAACTCCGCAAGGGTTTCCAGGCCAATGGTTTGACACACATTGGTGGCGTCAATAAGAACAAAGTCAAAGCAAAGCGGGGCCGCGGTCACACCCTTCTTAATTCTGCACAACGCCGTGGGCGATGTGCGCGCGGCAAACTTCAAAAAATCCGGAACACCCATGGCCCTTTGCGTCCAGCCCGCCCCCGTTCTCCCTTTCTTTATGTATGTATACACAAACACACCCCTATCAAAAAGTAAAAAAAAAAAAAGATATCAATACGAGAAGAAATCTTCAACCCTCAAAAAAAAAAAAAAAAAAAAGCCACACACCGTTGCACTTCAGTCACTCCATCCAATTAATCACCCAAACTGTCTCTCGCGTCACCCCCTTTCAGTCATGGCTCACAGTGTTTGCTGCATCCTCTAATTCTGCACAAAGTTGCGACATCTTAAGATCATGTTCTCTTCTTAGACGATTCAGCCCATCCAAATTACCCGAACTTTCCAAGTGTGCCTGAAGCTCTCTCCACAGAGCCAATGTTTTCTCAGTTTGCTCTTTAGCCTCCTGCATGTCCTCCGCGGCATAAACCGTACCAGCGCTCTCCCTTGCTTCCTCAATAAGTTCACGCGCCTCTGAAAAGGCGTCCATTAGCTCCAGTAGTTTGGCAGACGCTTCTGAACCCTGAGGAAAGCCTGCGCACCAGCGTCGTGAAGTGAACCAAACATGCACGGTGGTGACTGCAATAGGGGGCACAGCTGCACTGCGCCGAACCCTCAGACACGCCATGATGTGTCTGTACATGGCACTTCCACTGAGTGTCAAAGGGCTTCTCTGCATATGGGCGGGACGCAATCACCAAATCCCCCTTCACTCATCCTATTCTAATAATCCCCGTTGGGTTCACATCCATAGTTCCGCCAAGAAGACAAGAAGAGACGCTCCTTCACAGCGGCAGAAAAAACAAACATCTTTGCATTCTCCTAAGAGGAGCAGGGAGACGACAAAAAACTTTCCCCCGCCCACTTCCTCACACCGAGAAAAAACAAAAAACACGACACAAAACCAGCAGAGAACCCAATAGGAAAATATATATATATATATATATATATTCGCCTATGTGCACATACAAACACACATGCAGAGTTAACCTTACAGAATACACATAAATCAATAAAAATAACAAAAAAAGACAAAACAGGGTAATAAATAAAAACACCAGAAAAAAAAATTAAAATAAAATAAAATAAATAAACAGGGAACGATTGGGTAGAACAGCTACACACAAAAAAAAAAAAAGAAAAAAAACAGCTTCTTTGATTCATCTATACTCCTCACAGGTGAAAGCTTTGGTTTTGTTTCGTTTTTTATCTTCCCCCATGCCCTTTGCCCATGACGTCCTCCCACAATTACACCCAAACATTCGTCCCGTTTCCCTAACGTTCAGGTGATCACCGCACAAGCAGAACAACTCACAAAAACAAATAAATAACGCAAGAGGACCATCCAGGAAAACATCATCTACATAAATCATGTTTCAGGCAATGTAAACTATACAAATTCCCCAAACAACAGAAAAAAAAATATATTTATATACATCTCTCAGTTCACAAGGCGGGAAACAATCCTATTATCTTCACATGCACAAAACCATCACTCACAAAAAGCCAAAAGGCATAAAAGTAAATTTAGAGTATTAAAACAATTCCTAAAAGTTACTCAGCCTCATCAATACCAAGAGTCTGCTGAATCTTTTGCATCCACGCATCTCGCTCAGGATCACCGCGTGCCTGAAAAAGAAGGCGCCTTCCCGTTTTGAAGGCCACGGCAAACACATGCTGTGCATTCGACCCTGTGTACTTGCTTGCAACAGGGAACACGTCCTCCAACTCAAAGAATGGCGTCGTGATGCACTGCTGCCGCATTGTCTCCTTCGATACGGCCAACACAAGGTCCAGGCTCTTGAATTTCGGCATCCTGCCCGCATCCAGCCGCTCGCCCTCCTCGAGTGCCCCGCGGATGCACAAATACCGGCGCTTCCACGCGAGATCACCGCTCTGCTTCTTCACAATGCCTTCATACAGTGTGAGGTCCCCCACGCTCCCCATGGGGGTCGCCCCCTCTAGGATCGTCGTGGACGCGGCTGCAGCCGACTGAGACTCCTCCATTTGCCTCACAGTCACACGCCGCTCCTCCTTCAGTGACTGCTTTACGCTCTGAATGTGCGTGGATATCGTGTCACGTAGCGGGCCCGCAAAGGAGGGCTGCGTCTGCACAATCTCGAGCAGGCCAGAAACAAACAACTTGCAGATGGGCATGTTCAGCAGTTTGCTGCTCGAGGGACGGGCGTGCGGGTCCCCGCAGAGAAGCGACGTCACAACCTCCGCCATCTCGGGGCTAATCGTCGGTGGCAGCGGATCGTACCTCCCGGCTAGCGCCTTCTGCATCACCTCCTGCATATTCTCGCCATCAAACGGCCGCTTCAGTGTCAGCAGCTCATACAGCAACACCCCCAGGGAAAAGATATCGGCCTTCTTGCTGTACGGTTTCCTGCGCCATATCTCCGGCGCCACATAGTACGGCGTGCCACAGAATGTCTTGCCGACATCGCCCGAGACCGTGGCGGAATACATTTTGCTGAAGCCAAAGTCCCCGAGCTTCACAAGCCCGTTGCTGCAAAGAAGAATATTGGCTGTCTTGATGTCGCGGTGGATCATGTGCCGTGAGTGCACGTGGTGGATTGCAAGCAGGACCTGAATAAAAAGAAGGCCCGCCTCGTGCTCGCGAAACGCTCGAGCCGCCTTGGCACGGTTCTTGATCTCCTGGCGGAGGTCCCCGGCATTTGCGTAGTCAAGCACCAGTGCTACCATCAGAACATTCTCCTCGTCCGCAGGGTCCTTCTTTGCAAAGTCCTCGTGACACTTCAGGATTGAGAAGAAGTCGCAGTTCAGCAGGCACTGCACCTCCGCCTGTGCGCGGTTCTTGTCGGCTTCCGACATGCCCTCCATTTCCACAACCTTCACGGCGAATGACTGTCCATCCGACCTACGCTTTGCACACAGCACGGTGCCCGTCGCACCGGAGCCCAGAACCCGGCTGATCCAGTACTTTTTCCCCTGCTCCTTTGCCGTCGCCTCGTCACTCGCGAATGCATCGCTGAAGGTGCGACACACGCGGGGAATCATCGCGTCCCCAGAAGGCATTTCCGATATATCCAGTCAACAGTGCTGTGGCGTATGTATTTATCCTCTTCTTGTTTGCATAAAGTATAAAAAAGCAGACAAAATAAGTAAAAAAATGCATATGTTTTTTTTTTTTTTTTGCGAGCTCCTGCGACGGGTTTACAAAAAAAAAGGGGGCATGGCCGTATTTCTGTTCCGGTGGCACTGGTTGCGCGAGGACGTCTGCAGCTCCCTGCTCCACTGAAGTGCACGGAGTCCGTTATTAGAAGGAAAAAAAAAAAAAAAAAAAAAAAGGGAGGGAGCGGACGGGGATTTGACGCCCCCATTTTCTTAGCGTCGGACAGACAGAAATGTGAAATTACACGATGTTTGCCTTCTGTCCAGAGCCTTTCCGTTCATCCGCCCGTGCGTCCATGACTCTTTTTATTTCCTTTCCGCCCCCTTTCTCTCTGTCGGCGAGAACAACAGGCTCATTCATGTCTGCCATTACCGCACATTCCAATTGCATTAAAATAATAAAAAACATTTCCCTCTCACTATTCATCCTCTGCCATCTTTTTTCCCAACATTTGTGGCTCACAGTTCCTTCGGGGAGTGTACAGAACACAGACATATACATATATACATGTATATATAGATAGATGTAGATATAAACAACATGCAGACACATAACCCTGCTCCCTTTTCTTTTTTAAACGGCATTATTGGGTGACTGTGCCTGTGGAAGCATTGGATCAAATCCAGAGACATGAACGAAAGTGGCGGGTGGAGACGCACCATTAAAAGGATAAAAAAAAAAAAAAAAAAAAGCGAAGGACCGTGAATACACAGAAAACAATCAACGCAAAAATTAAAAGAAAAAAAGCAAAAGTTATCAACAAAATAACACACTTGTAAATAACAACCTCATTGAAATTAGTCTTCGTTCACGTGACAACGCACCCCTCATTTCCACGCTCCGTTCATCCACCACCTCAGTTATCGTTTTCTGCTTCACAGCTGACAGTAGCAACCTCTGCTTTCATCTGTCACGGGGGGCCCTTGTCTTCGTATCTCCCTCGTGCGTGGTGGGCCGGTGGCGACGTTGGCACCACCGCCACCGTGTGCACACTGCACTGTCCGCCCCACCACACACAACTCGTTTCATCCGCAACCCTCACAAGCAATTAGCAGCCACACGCTTCACTTGCCCACAAGTAAAAGCAGAAAATAAAATCAAAACCAATAAAAAAAAAAAATAGATATTTATTTGCGTATAAATATCAATGTGAATTCTCTGCCGTCGCCTCCTGCATCGCGGCAGCAGCAACCCTCCAAGCAAGGGGCCACAGCAACAGGCGTCAAAGACAGATGTAAGAGAGAAAGACACAAGCAAAGAAAAAATAAGGAAATAAAGCAGTAAAACGGACAATCTCCATTCCAACAAAACTGCGGAGGGCGCTGAAAGTACCCACCGATAATGCGAAACTCGATACGCCCAACCAAGAGCCGCCCCCACATCCTCGCATCACTGGGCACTCGCCAGTACTCTCCATTTAATCGTGGCAAAGACAAACAGGCAAAAATGCAAGTTAAATCTACGCAACGTTTTTTTCATTCTCGAGCGCCCCTTCCCCACCGCAGCAAAATACAAAGATAAAGAGCCTGCGCATGAAAGTATCGCCAGCACAGCAACGTCGTACGTCCGGGTTCTCCATATCAGGCAATGTCATGGCACGCCTAGTAGCTCTACCAGATCCCAAACAAAAGCAGCAAGCTTATAATGGCACATACAACAACAACAAAGAAAAAAAACGCATCCTAAATGTAAATGTGTCCCTAGAGTGTGGCGGTGAGGTGCAGCCCGCAGCAACGTTGGATTTGCAATGCGTTCTTCTCAGGCCCCAAGAAAGTCTTACAAAAAAAAAAAAAAAAGAGGTTAGCAGCACACTGGTCAGTTCTGTGCGCGTGCTCCTATCATCAAATATGCACAAAAACGGAAAGACAGCATCCGGGGTGCTTGGGTTTTGGAATACGCCAAACAAGAAAACACATTAACAATTTAAAAAAATCTCCACTAAAACATTTTTAAAAAAAGAGTGTCCCCGCTGACACCTCAAAAATCTGTATTGCACACAAAGCCCACAGACGGCCCAGACTAAACATCAACATACCCACAAGGAACGCGTCAAAAAATACAGACAAAATGAACATATAAAACTTGGTACGGAATACAAAAACAATTCCTAAAAGTTACTCAGCCTCATCAATACCAAGAGTCTGCTGAATCTTTTGCATCCACGCATCTCGCTCAGGATCACCGCGTGCCTGAAAAAGAAGGCGCCTTCCCGTTTTGAAGGCCACGGCAAACACATGCTGTGCATTCGACCCCGTGTACTTGCTTGCAACAGGGAACACGTCCTCCAACTCAGAGAATGGCGTCGTGATGCACTGCTGCCGCATTGTCTCCTTCGATACGGCCAACACAAGGTCCAGGCTCTTGAATTTCGGCATCCTGCCCGCATCCAGCCGCTCGCCCTCCTCGAGTGCCCCGCGGATGCACAAATACCGGCGCTTCCACGCGAGATCACCGCTCTGCTTCTTCACAATGCCTTCATACAGTGTGAGGTCCCCCACGCTCCCCATGGGGGTCGCCCCCTCTAGGATCGTCGTGGACGC